TAGGATTACCCAGGACCTATTCTAGTCGAAACACTATATGGGTCATCATGAACAGACTGACTAGGACTGCCCATTTTCTACACATCAGAACCACTGACTCCACCAGCAAGTTTGCCCGCCTATATGTTGATAAGATTGTTCGACTTCATGGTGTTCCCTCATCTATTGTGTCTGACCGCGATCTCCGGTTTACCTCTCACTTCTTGGACAGCTTCCAAGAAGCTCTGAGGTCTGGATTGTATTTTAGTACCACTTATCATCCCTAAATGGATGGTCAGTAAGAACATATTGTCTAGACATTAGAAGACATGTTGTGTGCTTGCGCCCTTGACTTCGGTGATAACTGGTATGAATATCTTCCCCTTTGTGAATTTGCTTATAATAACAGTTATCATTTCAGCATCGGCATGGCCCCTTATGAAGCATTGTACAAAAGGCTTTGTTGTTCTCCTACTTGTTGGAGTGAAGTCAAAAACTAGCACCATTTGGGACAAGACTTCATTCAGGAGACCATTGAGAAGGTCGCAATCATTAGTAAGAACTTGACAACTGCCCAGGGCCGTCAGAAGAGTTACGCCGATAATTGTAGACGACCCTTGGAGTTTGTCGTGGGAGATCAGGTTTTCCTCAAGGTTTTTCCCTATAAAGGAAATATGCGGTTCAAGAAGAGAGGGAAGTTGAGCACTCGTTATGTGGGACCCTTTTAGATCATCGAGCGCATTGGACCCATGGCATACTACCTCGCTCTATCCTAAGAATTTACAAGCCTACATGGCGTCTTTCATGTCTCGATACTTAAGAGGTACCACCCTGATCCTTTCCATATTATTCCTCAATATGAGTTGCAGGTACACACCGACATGACTTATGAGCAAGTTCTTGTGGAGATTCTTGGGTGGACCGATAAAGTCTTGTGTAACAAGATGATTTCCATGGTGAAGGTGCGATGGTAGCATCATACTCTAGAGGAAGCCACGTGGGAGTTGGAGAGCAAGATGATGGAGAAGTATTCAGACCTATTTGAGACAAATTTGATGATCAAATTTTTTTTAAGGTGAGGGGGATGTAACACCCCACCCATCGTTGTGCTTAATTAATTTGGAAAACCCTATTTGTTCGAGCCTTTAGCTGCATTAAACTCATTTAAATTACTCCACGTACTATTTATCGTGATTCATGAATCTGATTGATTTTAATTATTTTGCTTTTATTTAATTTTATTATATTTTATTTATTTGTCTTATTTTAGAAAATTTGGAAAAAAATTGGAAAAACAGTGAAACGAGAATAAATCCCACAGGAAAAATCTCTCGGAGAAGTAGAGCCTCCTCCACGGGATAATGTGCGTTTTGTGCCTGCGCACGTAGTGCCCAGCAAGCCAAGGCCCTGCGTGCGTGCAAGCTAGCCCTTGTGCGCGTAGCAGGACGCCTATGCGCTTACATGGTAGCCTGGAAAGCGTCGGATGGGGCACTTCTGCCTCGGACAATGCACCACTGTTGCCTAAGGCAGCGCTCTGCCGCCACCAGTGGAGGAGGCCCTCTTTCCTCATTTTTTATGTCGAGCATCTTTTTCTCCTCTCTCTTTATCGGATTTTTACACTTTGCGCGAATTCGATGGTTCTAAAATTCTATAAATAGGTCTTCCCATCCCATTCTTCCCACACTTCCATTCTTTTATTTTTTAAGACTTAGAGAGAGAAAAGAAGAGAGAGAAAAGAAGAGAGAGATAGAGTAATCTAGTGAGAGAAGGAGGAAAAGAAAAGAGGAACAGTGGAGGAGAAAATATCAAGATTTTGGTAATAAATTTAGTATTTCTTTCATCGTCTTAAGAAGTATTTTTAGATAAATTAATATTATTAAATATGATGATTTTGATTTTCCCTGCTTGTATGCCTTTATGTTTATAGTTCAGATAAGTCGAATTGTTCTTGTTTTTAAGAATGCTATGTGAATTATAGACACTTGATGAACTGCATGTAGTAAATATAATATGTAGTTAGTACTATTGCTTGGTAAAAATAAAGAATACAAAAAAAAAAGAAAAGAAAAAAGTGGAATGAAGCATAAATGGTATGAAGTATATCTGTATTGACATGCATATTGCATCAAGTTTCTCGTTAGGCTTTTTTATCTTTAAGGGGTATTTATTCCCCTAGCCCTTCGAGGTATCTGTTTTCCTTTCCTCCATCTAGTCTGGAAAGACGTAAGGGGATTGCTCCCAGTAGATGACGGCGTACCCTCTGACGAGAGTGATATTGCGAATATCTGTTAGGGGTCACCATTGGCTGAGTATTATCATGACTGTAGATATCTAATAGGGCCACTATGGTTGATACGATCGTGGTCGTAGATCGTACCATGGTTTGGCCAACCAAAAATGGACTTATGCAAATTGTCGTATATGTATCTAATCTGGTCATTTTACTTGGGTAGTTAGAAATCTATATCTGCCTTCAGATATGGAAGTCGTAATAACTTCGTGAAGTATTACACGAAAATCTGAGCATTTCATAATTTATTTGATTTTTTCTATTATCTGGTGTAATGTATGTTTGATTGTTCATATTAATGTACTGTTTTCTTAATAAATAAATTGTTTTCATAATATAAGATAGGTTTACGAGGTGGCCAAATGGTAAACTTTTAAGTTAAAATAATTCACTTTTAAAACCTTACAATGTTAATTTAATACGGTTTTTTTTACTGAGCATATGGAACTCACTCTTTCCATGCCTCCCCCACCATCTTAGATTTGGAAGAAAATGAGGAACTGCAAGCTGACTTACCCTTGAAAGTCTATGAGGATCCCGTGGATCCATAAAATTTGAGTGCATAGTTATTTCCGCACTCTGATGAGTCCAATAGCACAGTAAAAGAAATGACATTCTTTTGTGTTTTGTTTTTATATTTTGTAGCCACTTCAGGCCTCAATTGTATGTATGTAATTGGAACTTATATTTATATTTATAAGGGATTTGTATTAATTGTTCCGCTGTATAAAATTTTATCATATATTAGTTATTCTGTATCTGTATCTAACACCCATTTATCTTAATTAGCACTTGGGATGTCACAACAGATATTTGTAGCTTTTTGGGACTAGTAGGATATTATCAACATTTCATCAAAGATTTTTCCCACATTGCCACTCCCTTGACCTATCTCATCAAAAAGGGATTTTTGTTTAATTGGGACCACGAATATGAAGAAAAGTTTATTGAGTTTAAGCGTTGACTCATCATTGGTACGGTGTTGACCCTCTTTTATAATACCAGATGATTTCAAGTTTATTGTGATGCATCTCATGTTTGTCTGGGATGTGTACTCATGTAGCATGGTTAGGTAGTGGCATATAGTTCCAGACAACTGAAATTATATGAACATAACTACCCCACACATGACCTCGAGCTTGTCGCTATTGTCTTTACCTTAAAGATATGATACCACAATCTGTATGGTCAGACTTTTGAACTCTACACTAATCACAAAATTTTGAAGTATTTGTTTTTTTATAAAGAGTTGAACAATGTATAGAGGCATTGGATAGACCTTTTGAAAGACTACGACTACAAGATCTTGTACCACCCAAATAAAGGAAATATAATTATGGATGCCATTATTAGGAAGGACTCAGCCATGTTGGGCTAGTTGATGACTTCTAGTTGGAGAATGCTCAAGACAATTCAAGGTCTTCGTTTGAACCATTATTGTAATGGTACATACCTTGCCTAGATACGGATCCAACCCAATCTCCTCATGCGGATTTGGAAGGCCCAGTCAACGAACTAGGAGATTTTGAAGCACATAGACAAGTTTTCCTACGAGGAAGTCTACAACCGATGATGGATTGTACATATTCCAAGATCGAATATGGGTACCTAGTGACTCTGAGCTCATATTGAATTGTTCTAAAGGAGGCTCATGCATCCAAGTTGTTTATCCATCCTGAAAGTACCAAAATGTATCAAGATATGAGACTTCGTTTCTGGTGGCCTGGTACAAAGAAGGATATTATGGAAATTGTCTCCCGATGTCTCACTTACCAAAGAATCAAAGTAGAGCATCAAAGACTTGGTGGTCTTTTGCAAAGTCTCCCCATCTCTGAATGAAAATGAGAGCACGTGACCATGGACTTAATCACTGGTTTGCCAAGGATGAGTTTATATCATGATGTTATTTGGGTTATTGTGGACAAACTGATCAATTTTGTCCATTTTTTTGCTATCAAAACTACATACTCAATCAGTAAATTAGCCCGGTTATATGGTGAGAAGATTGTCCGACTCCATGGTGTTCCTACTTCTGTAGTTTCAAACAAGGAATCTTGTTTCACCTTTCATTTTTGCAAAAGTGTCCAAGAGGCCCTTGGCTCCAGTCTATACTTCAGTACTGCTTATCACCCCCAAATTGACAGGCAGTCAGAAAGAACCATTCAGACATTGGAGGACATGTTGCGCACTTGTGTACTAAACTCTGGTGGTAGTTGGGATCAGCACCTACGCCTTTGCGAATTTACTTATAACAATAGCTACGCCTCCAAGATCGATATGGCTCCATTTGAAGCTCTTTATGGTATGGAAGATGATGATACGAAAGATGCTGATAACATTGGAGAGTTGGCTTGCGTAGATGCCCTTACCCACTCGTGAAGAGCCCAACCTCTCTTTTGGATATTCTATCATTAGTTTATACAATAAAATACCAATTTTAGGACTGGCCTCTAGCGTGACAACTATAAAATACATGTATGTCCATGTAAAAGACCATGATAAATGTTTTGCTAAGCGTTGTATGGGTGCCATTGGAGAGGCAAAAGAGTCCTCCACAGCCGGAAAGGGAGAGGCGCAAACTAAGTTTAATGCATGTGCCCCTTTTAACGCTAGTTTGACTTGAGATGAAGAAGCACTGATTTCCATTTTTGCTGACATGGCACATTTTTAGCGCCGGTTTCAGTGCGACATCCGTCTGCCACGTATCGCTAAGATTTTCCACATTTTCCACTTCTAGAAATTTTATTTGGATTTTCACTTTGCTTCAGCCTTCAGCCCCAAGCTTGTGGTAACAGTCATGGCGATCTCTCTCAGCGCAACGTTCTCTCCTCTAGCTTCTCAATCAACCAATAAATGTTTCACCCGTGTACTTTTCAATCCTTCACCGAATCGCCATCTCAAATTCCATGAGAGAAGAATAACATTTTCTCTCCGGCGAGTCCGAGTCGTGGCCTCTACCGTCTCTGGATCTCCAGGCAAGTTCGTGTCCGTTCTTTGTTCGTTATTATTATTATTATTATTAGTATTATTATCTTTCGTATTTTAGCATTGAGTACCGCTAAATGAACAGGAACTGAATCGCCTGTTCTGGGCGAAGACACTACTAGTTTGCTGGATACGGTGAAAGTATTTGATTTGAACGGCAATGGAATTCCGATCTCTAATCTGTGGAAGGACCGGAAAGTAGTTGTCGCATTTGCTCGTCATTTTGGGTTATCACTCGCACTCATCTATTAACATATATTTCAGTTTTGTAGTTCAGCTAATTTAGAAAATTTGATCCCAACTTTTGTCATCTCGTGTATTTGGTTTCAGATGCGTGTTTTGCCGCAAGCGAGCTGATTATCTTGCCTCCAGGAAGGTAATCATCAGTTCTTGGCTGAGTAGCTTAGGCTATTGAATATAAAATGGCGAAGAGACTTTTAGCTTGGTGAAATGAAGAAAAGTATCCATGAGTAAATTCTAGTATTATTTCTTGTAATGGGCTTGTATTAGTTGAAAAATGAGTCATGATAAATTACGAAGGTTAATTCCTATTGTTTACCTATTATTTTGTTGTTTGTGAAAAAAAAAAACTATTGCTTTGTTAACATAGTGTATAGCATGCTGAGTACAGGATGTGATGGATGCATCAGGGGTGACTCTTGTTTTGATTGGACCTGGTAGCATTGAGCAGGTGGGATTGATATATTTTGTCGAATCCTTTAGCGTAGTTGAAAGTTTATATATGTTCTGATGTAAGATGTTTTTTCTTTTTGGCATTCGAGCAAGCATGTTTTCTTTCTAAAAAAAAAAAAAAAGCTCTTTTTCAATCTGGTAGTAAGGGGGAGAAAGAAATGGGAAAGGTCGATAATTTTCTACCATATAAGTTCTTCGAAGTCTAGTCATACAATGATAAACTTATAACCATCAGGTGCAACTCTGATACAGGCAAAGACCTTTGCTGAGCAGACAAAGTTCAAAGGAGGTATGCGTCTTAGGAACTTTTGAGTAGTACGTTACCAATATTCCTGTATTATATAACAGCCTAGACTACTTTTTGTTTGGACCTAATTTTAAGCAGCTTTTTACAACTGAAATTGGTATTTTATTCTTGCATAATTAAACAGAAGCTACATGGAGAAGTCAAATAGAGCCTGGATAGTTAAAATTTTCCATACTGTATCAGCATATTGGTTATTTTTTCAAAAAAATAAGGCAGTCTGTTCACAACGAATTTTCCAAAGGATAGAGATTGAATAATAAAGAAAAACTTCCTTTGCTAGTTCAATGCAGATGTCTTGTTGATTGTTTATTCACATTTCTGCTCTGACAAATGATTTTTATTTTATACAGAAGTCTATGCAGATCCTAGCCACTCATCATATGAGGCATTAAAATTTGTTTCCGGGGCTTCAACCACATTTACACCCAAAGTACATTGAAGGCCTTATGTTTTGCATCCGTGTGACGAGTTTTTTGGTTTTGAGATATACATCGGATCTTATCACTTATTAATGGTATATCAACTTTCTGATTTCAGTTGTTGCAATTAACATGTTAGGCAGGTCTCAAAATAATACAACTGTACATGGAAGGATACCGACAGGACTGGAAGCTTTCGTTTGAAAGGGACACTGTCACCAGAGGTGGCTGGTACGTATAAAGTGAACCATTTTTGGGTAAATATATGCACTTAATTTCTAACACATCTTTGACTACTTATTTGAAGAATCTAAGCTTTATTTACTACGTGAAATTCTAGCTTTTCATTTTCTAATTTATATATGTTTATACATACAATATGTGTAATTGTCGAAAATCAAAACAAACTTCCAAAATTGATAGTAAAAATATGAGATGAATTTTAGAAGAGTAAAAAACTGTTTTCCTCACGCAATATTATCCCTTTTATTTTTTAATTTCTATTTTCATTTTCAACAACCAGACATGTTTTATATATGAACGCATATACAAATTTAGAAAATGAAATGCGAAAGCTGAAATTGGTAGCCTTTTGGCTGGTTTATCGATGTTTTATCAGCATATCAGAAACTAATTAAGCAGATAAAATTGACCCTTGAATTATGCAGCAACTTAAGATTGATTGATGCTTGTCGAGTCTCCACCTTAGCATTCTGATCTAAATTCATATATGTAAGCAAGTGTATAGGAAGGAAAATGAACAGAAAGTTGTATCTAAAAAATGCTTTCTTCTTTTCAAACTAGAATCTAAACAAAAATATTTTTGATCTGCTTAAAATTTTGAGAGCGATTTTCTTGGTTCTTCCACAGGCAGCAGGGTGGAATTCTAGTGGCAGGGCCTGGTAAGAACAACATATCATATATTCACAAGGTGATTTTTCCCTCCTTAATCCTCACTCATGTTCTTTTAGTGAGTCTGAAATGCCACCCAGGTTTAAATTTGTTAAATATTCAGGACAAAGAAGCAGGAGATGACCCAGATATCGAAGGTATCTTAAAAGCATGTTGCTGGTCATGAAGTAAAAAATTTGGGTCCTACTTCTGCTAGCTAACTTCAAGTATTCTCAGCAGTATAATGCAGAAGCTATAAATTCAGGATTTTGTCATGATGACCCACAACTGGGTTACAGCACGTGAAAGTAGCTGCAGAATAGATAGCGGGAAATATATCATCATATCATACATTCTCCTTTTCATTATAGACAGTTAAATTGTGGTCTTAAGTATTGATTACGGCATATAGGTGGCTGATAAATGCAAATATATAATTGTTGCCGAAAAATGAGATTTTCATCTCATGCAGCTCCTCCGTCCTGTGCATAGCGAGAATAATATATGGAAAAAAGTTGATATCATTACGACCAGGCCGGGAATAATGTTTTTACAAAAAATTTCTAGCCAACCTTTTTGTAAAAGATCTTTTCTCAACATTAAATGTATTGTAATATAAGATAAAAATAAAAAAAGAAACATCAACAATATTTTTATTCTCAACGCCCTTTGATTAAGGTTTAGTCACTTCAATAGTTTTCAATAGATGGATGTTTGTTGGTCCAATTATTTTCTAGTTCCAATCCCGATGAAGGGAAACGAGTAACTTAGAACAAAATTTGTCCCCCCCAGTATAAAGCATAGTTCATAGTTGATGTTGAGGAAAGTTTCTTTTTTGGTTACTCTTTCTATCAATCAATGAAAGAGAATCGGGTTGTTTCAGTGCCAACCAGATAAATGAGTATATAAATTTTGCTCTCTTTCTATCTTCTTCCTTTTTCTTAATTTTCATTTACAGAACTGTTAAGGCATGTGCGCTAGTTTTATGATTGTAACCAATTTACGGTCTTGCCTCAACTTCAAAAGTTGGGTTATTTAGCTGGATAAATGTACAAAAAATATCTCACTTTACTAGAAAATACTCTTCATCTCTCTAGCAAAGGAAACGACGCCGTTCTGGTCCTTCCACCATCTGACCTCGTGGTTATGGTAAGGCGGCACTATATTTCCCGCCATTCATTTGAGATCTACATTCCCTAATCAGTCATCAATGGCGGACAAGAAGAAACGCCACCGTGCTGGAGCAGATGATGAGTCTGAACTACCCTTCAAGAATCGCCTGAAGCCCGATTCGGTTATAATGGAATCCCTCAAATCTTCCTTCGCCGCTGCTGCCGCCTATTCTTCTGCTTCATCCTCCAAAACCCCAACTCTGGCGGATCTATCGCTCATGACTTCCTGCCGCGAGGTCAGAGACCTTTCCCTGGGCTCCGTCCAATTGGCCATTGAATCACTGATTCTCCAACTCACCCACTCCATTCTCTCCGGCAATGGATTCTCCTTCAATGTCCCCTCACGCGCCTCCTCCAACCAGCTTTACGTCCCCGAGCTCGACCGCATCGTGCTAAAAGACAAATCTACTCTTCGTCCCTTCGCCCACATCTCCTCCGTCCGTAAGTCTACGATCACCGCCAGGATCCTCTCCCTCGTCCACCAGCTTTGTCTCAAGAGCATCCATGTAACCAAGAGAGACCTCTTCTACACTGACGTCAAGCTCTTCCAGGACCAGACTCAATCCGACGCCGTTCTCGACGACGTCTCTTGTATGCTGGGATGCACCAGATCCAGTCTCAACGTCATCGCGGCAGAGAAAGGGGTCGTCGTTGGTAGGCTCATTTTCAGCGATAATGGGGATATGATTGACTGCACTAAGATGGGCATAGGGGGAAAAGCCATCCCACCCAATATTAATAGAGTTGGGGATATGCAGAGTGATGCCATGTTCATACTTCTGGTTGAGAAGGATGCTGCGTATATTAGATTAGCAGAGGATAGATTCTACAACCGGTTTCCATGTATCATTGTGACTGCCAAGGGACAGCCGGATGTAGCAACCAGGCTGTTCTTAAGGAAGATGAAGATGGAATTGAAGTTGCCGGTGCTGGCATTGGTGGACAGTGACCCATATGGGTTGAAGATTCTGTCAGTATACGGTTGTGGATCTAAGAATATGTCTTATGATAGTGCAAATTTGACGACCCCGGATATCAAGTGGCTAGGAATCAGGCCAAGTGACTTGGATAAGTATAAGAATACCCGAGCAATGTAGGTTGCCAATGACCGACCAGGATATTAAGACTGGAAAGGATCTATTAGAGGAAGACTTTGTGAAGAAGAACCCGGGCTGGGTTGAGGAGCTTAATTTGATGGTTAAGACAAAGAAGAAGGCTGAAATTCAGGCGTTGAGCTCATTTGGGTTTCAGTACTTGTCTGAGGTTTATTTGCCCTTGAAGCTGCAGCAGCAAGATTGGTTGTGAGAGTATGATCCCATGCCTCCGCCGGGGACGTGTATTTGTAAGTGGGTCCTTTCTTTTTCTTCTCTGTGTATCATAGCAGAGGGAATTGTCAGGTGATGCTACAAAGTGAGTAATCTTCTGTTATTCTTCTTAATGATAAAAATGCTTGAATTTCTTCAAGTAACTTTTTACATTTTGCAATTCCAGTGTAACTGTAGCGAACAACTTTGTAGCATTGTTACAATTTTTCTGTACTTCACAATAAAACTTGCTAGAGATTACAATTTATTCTGTATAGCTGCAACAAATCAAAATAAGTAACTTTTTACAATATAGGTACAGGTATATATAACATATTTACCTTCTAAAACTCTCTTCTTTGCAGCCAAAAATGCAATGATTTCTTTGTCACCTTTAACCTTTGTACAATTGCAGGTCTCCTGGTAGAGGATACCGACGCAACTGGTAACCTGTTCTTTCTTAACGTTTTGTCCAGAAAAACCTCGAGGCCCAGTTGATCATGCAGCAGTTTAATTACTGTATCTTTCACATCAGCTACATGGTTGGCTGGGTTGCTATCTCTCTTACTGATTCCTAGTAGGATTAGCATGTCGTCATTTATGTTATTCCCTACAACCAGAATTTAACAGTCAAATACTAGAAATTCCCCAGGTACTTGGCTTTTCTCTTCACATCAAGACTTGAGATTCAGTTCTTGTTCAATCAGTCTAAATATCAACCTAGTTTTGTAGCATGAAAAAATTTTCTTTGACTAAGTAGGAATTTCTTTATGATACATTCTTTTTCTTTTTAAGAAATGAATACTTTACCTTGGGCATAGTTCTCTTTGACCATTCGCAAAACTGCAAGAACAACTATCCGAGCCTCAACCTGTCAATGCATCGGAGAACTTTAATGAGATTGAGTATCGAAGTGTGTAATACTATCTATATTCCAGAATAGGACTTGCGTACGAAATTTTAACACTTGCTT